CTCTGACTGTGTAGACCACCAAAAAAAAAAAAAAAGAGAGAGAGAGGAAAAAAAACTAAGAATATATGGGACTTCTGTGTACTATTAATGCAACTTTTTTTGTATGTCTCTAATTATTTCATAATGGAAATTTAGGCCAGGTACGGTGGCTCATGCCTGTATTCCTACCACTCTGGGAAACAGAGGCAGGAAGATTTCTTGAGCTCAGGAATTTGACACCAGCTTGAGCAAGAGTGAGACCCTGTCTCTAAAAACTAGCCAGGCATTGTGCCAGGTGCCTGTAGTCTTAGTTATTCCAGAGGCTGAGGCAGAAGGATTGCTGGAGCCTGGGTATTTGAGGTTGCTGTGATGTCATAGTACTCTAGTCTGGGCAACAGAATAAAACTCTGTCTTAAAAAAATTTTCAACCTTAAAAATAGATAGTAAAATAGTACCTGACATATTATAGGTACTCAGTAATAAATGGATAAATGACAGTACTCAATGCCAGCCAAGTTCCTCCATTCTCTGCCATCAGACACTCAGCAGTCTACCTGGTCCCACTCAGGTAAGGGGGGAATGTGATTAAAGAAAGTTGGCTTATAAGCAGAACTAGAGTATGTGGATGGACCAGCTGAAGGAAGATGGACCAACTGCAAGAAATAGAAAAAGAAATAACTGCATGGCAACCCCGTAAATACACTCCAGCACAAACAAATGATTGACAAAATAAAGCTGCATTAAAGATACTTTTTAAATTACCCAATGTCACACAACTCAAATAAGAGAGACAGATTTCTCTGCAAGTGTTTTGCATTTTAGAACAATGGAATATTGATATATTATAATTTAATTACATAAAAACTTAAAGATAAGATAATAAAATAATAGGATGAGATAAGGTAAGATAAGGATGAGATAAATGACAGCACTCAATGCCAGCCAAGTTCCTCCATTTTCTGCCATCAGACACTCAGCAGTCTACCTGGTCCCACTCAGGTAAGGGGGGAATGTGATTAAAGAAAGTTAAACAGAGGTAAGAAAATAAAACAAAACCCAAAACACTTTGATTATAGATCAAATAAATAAATTAGCAAAGAAAATAACAAAATAATCATGGCGAAAAATCAAATTAACTTCATGGAGAAGAGATTTAAGATAGTGTGGACGTAGAGGGGAGATAGAGACGGAAGCAGTTAGAAGGAACGTGATAGTACGTAACTCGGAAGCATTCTAACTTAAGGCTAATTGGTGTTCATCATGGACACCGCTCAACACGAGAAACCAAAAAGAATTCAGTGATACAGGAAAATTTCTCTGACTTGAATGAAAAATTCAATCTAAAAGTTGAGAAGATGCCGTATACGCCAGGAAAACTTGTTTTAGTATAATTGACATTGACATATCCTGTTTAAGACTCTGAGATGTGAAGATTTAAAGAAAAAGAAAGAATTGTTCAGACATAGAGGAAGGGAAAATAAAAACAGGTCACTTATAAAGCAGGGGGAACAATCAAACCGATTTCAGACTTCTCTCAGGGCTACAGAGTTTATCTAAAAATGTTGAAGGGGAAGACGTGTGACCTAAGAAGAGCACAGCCCGCAGAACCGACAGACCAGCAGCAGCAGACACCCTCAAACATGAAGGAATTCAGAGATGATAGTCACCATGAGCCCTTCTTTAAAAAAATAAAAGTGATTGATGATGGAATCTAGCCAAATGGCACATCAATATAAAGAACTTTAGAATGAAGAGGCCACATAAACGAATAGATATTGGATGCTGAATCCACTAAATCGACAACCAGAACTAAAGGCAAAGGAATATAAGCAAAGATGGAGGGTACGGAGGCATGAGGCACTCTGTCTCTTATAGTTTGGAATAAGTCAATTTTGTCTAAAATTGAAATGTCATTTTAAAAATTATAATGAATTCAACCTCTAATGGTTTTCATTATCTTTTTCATTCTATCTTCTTTTTTATTCTTTATTTTTTTTAGCCTTTGAAGAATATTTTAGGAACTAGCATCTCTTGTGGCGAAGAAGCATTTATCTTCAGTTTAGCAATTTCTTCAGTTTCACTTTCTTCTGTTCAATTCAAACACAATTGAGTAGACTTTTGATTTAAATTAGTACTTGTGGTAGATGCATTCGTTTTCCTAATTCTCCAGCCCTCCTTGTATCCATGCCTGTAACCTTATACCTAATGCAGTTCTTCTCACTAGGGGCAGAATATTTTTCCCCACTCCACTGAGTTTGGCTTGGCCATGTGTACATAGTATTGGTCAGGGTGCGATCAGAGAGGCATACCCCGTATCAGTGGTGGGGACTGGTGATTTTTTTCAACTGTCAGATTATAAATACTTTAAGCTTTGTTTATACAGTCTTGTCACAACGACTCAACTCCGTCATTAAGCAGCCACGGATAATATATAAATGAATATTCATGGCTGTGTTTCAATAAAACTCTATTTACACAAATAGGTAGCAGGCTAGAATTGACCTGTGGCAAACCCATGGGCCAAAGTTTGTCAACTCCTGAGTTAATAGGTATAAGATTTCTAATTGGAGTTAGATGTTACATTTGGGGAAGTGAAGGTCCTGGGGGGATGTTGGAAGACTATAGATAAGTCACCAACTAGTCAATCTGATACCCAAGTACATCCAGCCACCAACATGGAACTGCAAAGGGAAGGTGCGTGGGGTTGTCCACAGAAATACAACCCTCCGAATAGCTGCTGCTTGTGTGACTCTGCGGCCCAGGGACTGGTGGTGGGCTCAGCAGGGCCAGAAGTTGGGAAGAAGAGCTGGAAAGGAGGAGAAGAAACAGAGACAAAGCAGAATCTACCCACAGTTCTGAGTATCTGTCATTGCTTCCACCCACGGTAACCTCAGAGAGCAATGTTTTTGCTTCATTTCTGCTTTTTTTTTTTTAATCTTTTAAAGAGAAAGAGTTTTGTTCTGTTGCCCAGACTGGAGTGCAGTGGTGTCATCACACCTCAATGCAGCTTCTAATCCCAGGCTTGAGCAATCCTCCTGCCTCAGCCTCCCCAGAAGCTGGGAATACAGATGCACACCACCATGTCTGACTAACGTTTCTTAATTTTTTGTAGAGACGGGGTCTCACTACATTACCTAAACTGGTCTCAAATTCCTTGCTTCAAGAGATCCTCCTGCCTTGGCCTCCTAAAGTGCTGGGATTATAGAGGTGAGCCACTGCAGTCAGCCCCTGTCTTTCAAATCTCACATAAATTCCTCTGTTGGTCAGCCCTACTGAGAAGAGGACTCTGGGAAATAAAGTTCTAATTTAGCCTATTTCACACAGTACAAACCACCACTGTCCGCTTCTTGTCAACCTGGCATCCATAAATATTATTTGAGTCACATTCAACCTCCAAATAAAGACAAAACCAAAATCATAAATTCAACTAACATAATACAATTATCCTTCAGACAACCAAAAAACATACTAACCCTCTTTTCACCCATCTTTAGGTAACATTCATTCCCCTTCTAGTTATCTTTCATTGATTTTCTGTAACTTGAATAATGAAATATAAAGTTAACTTATTAGTACATCTCATTTAGATAGGAGAATGGGGGAAGGAAAGAAAAATATTGGATGCTGTATCTAAAAATTATTCATAAAGTAAGAAGAAATGTTTATAACTACTACAGTCTTCCTTTATGTAGTTGGTCTCGTGATTGTAGTGGGTATTTTTAACTTCCTTTTCCTCAACCAATTCTATACCCCTTGTTCCCTCTGCAAGAACCTCAGTTGGTCATGATTCCTGGCCTGATGGGGTGACTCAGACCTTCCTTACTGAAGCATTTGTGATATCAACAATCCTTCCTGAATTCCACTGTCATTGTTTTCCATCAGTTTTTTATCCTAGGACATAGTAGTGTGTTTCCCCGAAAATAAGACATACCCAAGAAAATAAGTCCTAACAGGATTTCTATGCATTTGTTAAATATAAGCCCTACCCCGATAATAAGACCTAGTGATGGGCAGGGCTATGCAGCATATCTGCATAGCCACACACTGCATTTCCACCTGGAGAGAAGACATCCTCTGAAAATAAACCCTAGTGTGTCTTCTTGAGAAAAAATAAATATAAGACAGCGTCTTATTTTCAGGGAAACACGGTAGTATTAAGAGGTGCCCTGGGAATCTCCTAAATTCTAGACATACTCCACTTTCTCACCTGGTGAAGTAGCAGCTAATTTCTTCTTGATAATCAGGATCAGTTACCTCAGCCCCACAGTTCCCTTCTTTTTTCTTTTTTGAAACAGAGTCACTTTGTTGCCCCGAAGTTGGCATCATAGCTCATAGCAACCTCAGACTCCAGGACTCAAGCAATTCTCTTGCCTCAGCAAACCGAGTAGCTGGGACTACAGGCACCCACCACAACGCTCGGCTATTTTCAGAGACAGGTGTCCTTCTCTGGCTCAGGCTGGTCTCGAACTTCTGAGCTCAGGCAATCCACCCGCCTCGGCCTCCCAGAGTGCTAACAGCTCCCTTCTTCTCACCTCGTTGGTTCACTGGCACGAGGAGCCCAAAGTGGCTAGACAGCAGTCGGAACTTCCAGTTTAAAGGAAACACTGCTATGTCCCCCATAGACGCCTTCCTCCCTTGAGACCTAAGACGTCTAGACAAACAGAAGCTAAAGTTGTAGGAAAGGGAAAGAAATCTCAAATGTGTACCATTTACAGGTAATAGTGACCTGGAGCCAGTGGCTGCAGCCAGATCAGCCATGGAGAGCAGAAGTCCAGTTTCCTGAGCCCGTGCATACCTCCCACTGCGGCTGCTACAGTACCTTTGTCCATAAGCTCTCTAAGTAAGGACACGGTAGCTGGGGAAAAGGACAGAATGATGGCCACAGAATAAGGGTACAAATAAGGATTTAATCAGAGCAGTAGATCCGCTAGGATGGGCATGTGCGTGTGTGTGTATGTATTTGTTGCAGAAACTGGATCTCAGCAGTTGTGGCACTACTGATTAGATGATTCTGTGTGTATGTTGTCCTCACACATGTGATGTCTGATGCTGAAGTTTGAAGGCCACAGGGCAGGCAGGCAGGAGAGAAAAAGGGTATAAAGTAGAGAAGGACAAAAAAACAAAACAAACAAACAAAATATTAGCTGGACATGGTGGCACACGCCTGTAGTCCCAGCTGTCTGGGAGGCTGAGATGGCAGGATGGCTGGAGCCCAAGAGTCAGAGAGTACAGTGAGCTATGAACACACCACTATACTCCACCCTGGGTGATAGTGCAAGACCCTATCACTTAAAAAAAAAAAAAAAATATATATATATATATATATATATATCTCAATATTGTTTTGACAAATGGGCCATGGTTATGTAAGACGTTAACATTAGGGGAAGATGGGTGAAGGGTATGTGGTAACTCTGTACCATCTCTGAAGATTTTCTGTGAATCTAAAATTATTCCTGCCCCAAACTTTGGAAATTATGTATCATTTAAAAATTATTTTTTAAAAACATCCTAAAATTAAAATCTTAATATGTATGTTTTATAACATAATGTAATACTCTAAAGTAAAATAAAATGAAGATAAGTACTTACTTTTAGGGTTATGAGAGGATTCAGTGAGCTGGTATCTATAAAACACATAGGAATCATAGTTAAAGTCAAGAAAAGCAAGTTATAATAATACTTCTTATATTACTCCCAAATTGTCTTCCGCCTCTCATTGTGTGTGTGGGAGGGGGCAGGTTATTTTATTATTAGTTTCTTTTTTTAGAGATGAAGACAGTCTCGCTATGCTGCCCAGGCTGGTCTCAAACTCCCAGCCTCAAGCCATCCTCCTGTCTGGTGTTGGAATTGTAGGTATGAGCCACAGTGTTCAGCCTCTGCATGTGAATTTTTTAAATAAATATCTTTACTGAAGTATAACACATATACAGAAAGAAGCTGAGTCATAGAATATCATTTGCTGAATTATCAGGTAAACTCGCAGGGGTACCCAGCACCCTAGAAGCTCCCTTTCCACATACCAACCCCCGTTCTCCAAAGGTAACCAATATGCCCACTTCTAACACATAATTTGGTCCATGTCTGTTCTTCATATAAATGGAATCATAGTGCATTTATTCTTTTGCATCTGGCTTCTTTTGTTCAACACTGTGTTTGTAAGATTCTAAATCCCTTGCTAGGAACCAGAGCTTTCCACAGTGGACTTCACAGTAAGTACTGATCTCTCTCCAGCGTCCTACATATTGTCTCCAGAAAATTGTAATGTTAAAGAAAGCCCATTTATTCAAATAAATATTTAATGAGCACCTAGACTGTGTTGAGATCCATTAGGGATGGAACCCCAAAATGTGTCGCCAACTGGAGAGCTCTGAGTGAGTGAAGCATCTTGCCTGAGTAGTTTTCAGGGATGTGGGAGATTGGGGATGTGGAAAATTCACAGTAGCATGTGAATTCAATCTTTGAAAGGAATTTATTACCTGCCCTAAAAAGCGCCCCGCACTGCAGTTTAGCACAGCTCCCAAGAAGCAGCAGGTTCCTCACTTACATCTTTTGAACATATCATAGAAGCTAAGTCCAAGAAGTTTCTGTCTCAGTTATTTCTACTTTTCTTTCTTTCTTTTTTTTTGTAGTTTTTAACCAGGGCTGGGTTTGAACCTGCCACCTCTGGCATATGGGGCTGGCGCCCTACTCCTTTGAGCCACAGGCACTGCCCCTATCTCTACTTTTCTTCAAATATTATTTGGTTAAATACTGGGATTCTCTCAGTTAAAAGTTATAACTTTTTCAAAAAGCCCTTGATGCTTCTGTTTCTCAGGGCTTCAAGAGTAAATTATGTAGAGACATTTCCGGGGGACAAGCACGGTGGTCCCCCCTCCTGCTCCACCAGTTCCATCAGCATTGCTCTAAGATCGGTGGTCAGCCACCTTCCTTCTGGGCCTTGACTTTCTCATCTCTAAGAAGGAATATACTCCATCGAAGGTTACCTAGAACCCATGGATCCACTGGAGAATCCTTTAATCCCTGAAAATGGTATGGAAGATAATGTGTGTTTTTGAGGGGAAGGATTCCAGGGTACAATCCCCCCCCCAAAAAAAATGAAACACCATCACGTTCTATGATCAGCAAGAACATTTCTAGCACTAACCTTCGGCAATCGTGTGACCGCTTATGTGAGCTGGAGAGCTTGATTTTTGCTTCAGTGTCTGACTCTAGCTGAATCTAAAATAGAAAAGATGTTTTTGCCTTGCCTTTTCTCTTCCATCAATTTTTCTGCCCTAACAGAATGGACACTGTGAAGTTGGGGCACCTCCTAATAGCGCCTCTTGCTGATCTCTGCAGGTAAGAAAACATCAAGAATCATTTCATCTACACTAGCAAGGCCCTGGATCAAGGGCCTCTGTCTTTATATGACCTCAGTCTGGATCCTGTGGCACAGGGTTGGCTTGTTTTCTAAATGCTGTAGCCACTGTAACCTGCGGAGCTTGTTGGCAGGTCTGCTTCTCATCGCCAAGTAGGTGGGAGCATTCCAATGGATTCTGAGCAGTTCAACAACCCGATTTTCCCTCACAGAGAAATGGCTCTGCAGCTGCCACAAATGGCCAAACTGGACATGGTTTGCATAACTAGACATGGTGCCAGCCTGTCACCTGAGTTAAGGAAGCAGAACCCTTCCCACCCAAGCTCCTGAGTTCCGCACAATATTGGGTTACACATTCCCTTTGTGTGGTTGGTGCCCTCGGTAGCACCCTGGCAACAACCGAGTTTTCATTACAGACTGCCTTGGTCAGTAAAAAGGAATCATTTGTGTTGCTGTGTTCTTTTTTTTTTTTTTCTAATTGTTGGGGATTCATTGAGGGTATGAGAAACCAGGTTACGCTGATTGCATTTATTAGGTAAAGTCCCTTGTATTGCTGTCTTAATAATCACACTGGTTTTACTGCAGGTGAAAGAAGTGGGTCTAGAACTCATCCTCTTCCTAAAAATATATTTCTCTGTTCTCAGAGGACCCACCCTTGCCACTCCAGGGTGGCCCACAAAACAGCAGCAGCACCTGGAGTTTCTTTGAAATGCAAACATTTCAGCCCCACCCCAGAATCTGCATTCTAATGAGACTCCCAGGTGACCCCCGATGGTGGGCACAGTCACATTTGAGAGGTAAACCAACTGTATCTGTGACCTTCTAGCAAATCATTAACAATCAACAAATGCCAGCCTCTTTCCTCCTCTTAAAACCTAGGGCACTGCCCGAGAAGCTCAGAGGGAGGGAGGGGAGGAGAAACAGGCACAGAAGAAGAAGAACTTGGAGAGAAAAGAGAAAGGGAAGAAGGAAGAAGGAAGGGAGGAAAAGGAGAGAGGAGAGAGAGAGAGGGCGAGGGTGGGGTGGGCGGCCAGCGTGGGGTGGGTGTCAGCGCCTCCCGGGTCAGGCACAGATCCGAGGCCTGCGTGCTCCACAGGGTTTTCTCCACAGTCATGTTCTGCCTCCTGTGTTTCCCTAGTTAATAGCTTCAAAATATGACTTGATGACCTTTTTTTTGAGACAGAAAAAAACAGAGTCTCAAGCTGTCACCCTGGGTAGAATGCTGTGGCATCATAGCTCACAGCAACCTCTAACTTGGGCTCAAGTGATCCTCTTGCCTCAGCTTTTCTATTTTTAGTAGAGACAGAGTCTCACGTTTGCTCAGGCTGGTCTCAAACTCATGAGCTCAAGGAATCCACCCACTTCGGCCTCCCAGAGTGCTGAGATTATAGGCATGAGCCACCACACCCAGCCAACTTCAATCACTTTTTTTTTTTTTTTGAGACAGAGCCTCAAGCTGTCCCCCTGGGCAGAGTGCCGTGGCATTACAGCTCACAGCAACCTCCAACTCCTGAGCTCAAGCGAGTCTCCTGCCTCCGCCTCCCAAGTAGCTGGGACCACAGGCGCCCGCCACAACACCCGGCTATTTTTTGGTTGCAGCCGTCATTGTTGTTTGGCGGGTCCGGGCTGGGGATTCGAACCCGCCACCTTAGGTGTACGTGGCTGGCGCCTTAGCCGGTTGAGCTATAGGCGCCAAGCCCCAACTTCAATAACTTTTGAAAAGAAAGTTCATGTCTCGGGTTTCATGTGCTCATAATATTTTTTCTGATACACATTCAAATATTTTCATGGCTATTAACATTTTGTTAAGTGTTGTTCATCCCGGCACTGGGCCCCACCCCTGGGGACACCTGCTTCAGAGAAAGGATCCTCTAGGTGGTGCAGGCAGTCCCGTGAGAGCAGGCACCAAGCATCTGAGATAGGCTCTGTTTTCTCATGTGTTGAAATTGCATTGCATTGCAAGACACAGAGTGATGAAACAGCTGTGATTCAGGCAGGCTAACGCCACAGTCAGACTTGGAGGGGCACTCACCTCGAACCTGCTTAATCCTTCTTTTTTTTGAGACAAAGTCTCACTTTGCATCCTGGGTAAAGTGCCGTGGCGTCATAGCTCATAGTAACCTCAAACTCTTGGGCTCAAGTCATCCTCTTGCCTCAGCTTCCCAGGTAGTTGGAACTACAGGTGCCTACCACAACGGCTGGCTATATTTTTAGAGATGGGTCTCGCTCATGCTCAAGCTGGTCCTAAAACTCCTCAGCTCAGGCAATCCACCCGCCTTGGCCTCCCAGAGTGCTGGGATTACAGGCATGAGCCACCACACCTAGCAAACCTGCTGAATTCTTAAAGGTAGTGGCAAGAACTTGGGATAAAGACTGTAGAATAAAAAGTAAATTGTCACCTAATATTCCAAGTTAACAGAAGATGCATGAGCAGGTTGACTACACCCCTTGGTAGAGCTGCCATCTAAAACTTTCATCTGGGTTCAGAGCAGGGATCTAAGGTGAGCAAGGAGGCCTCATCGGGATGCTGCCTGGCCTGAGGGAGCCTGGGGCATCTGAGCGCCTGGGAGTCAGCACCACAACTTCCCTTCTCTGGGCAGCCGGTCTCCACCGGGTTTTTAGCAATGTGTAAAACTTATTCTTCCCTGTACCTCTGAGGATAGGGAGATGCAATACAAGCCAAAAATGTTACAATGTAAACACGCCCAAGCCAACTTTTAATTTTCCTTTCAACTGGCTTTCAATCTTCTTAGTTTGAAGTTGTTTTTTTTTTTTTTTATTTCACTTTCTTTCTTTCTTTATTTTTTATTGAGACAGAGTCTCACTTTGTGGCCCTCAGTAGAGTACCTTGGAGTCATAGCTCACAGCAACCTCCAACTCTTGGGTTTAAGTGATTCTCTTGCTTCAGCCTCCCAAGTAGCTGGGACTATAGGCACCTGCCAGAATGCCCGGCTTTTTTTTTTTTTTTTTTTTTTGGTAGAGACGGGGTCTCACTCTGGCTCATGCTGGTCTCGAACCTCTGAGTTTAGGGCAATCCACCCGCCTCAGCCTCCCAGGGTGCTAGGAGTACAAGCACGGCCCCAAGTGCTACCATGCCCGGCCCCAAGCGCTACTTTTAAAAGAAACACAAAGGGCTCGGCACCCATAGCACAGTGGTTACGGTGTCAGCCACATACACCGAGGCTGGCGGGTTCAAACCCAGCCCGAGCCAGCTAAACAACAAATGACAACTGCAACCAAAAAATAGCTGGGTGTTGTGGCGGGTGC